AAAACTAAATTTAAATCTTGAAAAGCAGCCTATAAAATTTACAGATTCATCCATCAAGTTACAATAATGCATTGTCTAGTTATATTTCAAAGTTGGTTTTCAAGATATACAAACTTCCAATTTTGCTTATTCACTTGGGAAACCTCACTCTGTTTTAGAAACTAAATGGGTATTCATGCATTTGTGCTTTGGGTCCAATCCATTGTCTATTGTAGTATATTAATACTGCTTTGCCTAAATATACATCTAGTTTGTTGATATCTTTATTTTGTCTGCATATACTCTGCTTGTATAAGTTTATGAATGCATTTTTACATAAAAGCAATGGAAACAGTACAGAAACAGAAATGAATGAGAAAATAAATAACCACATGACACATATGAGAGCAAAGATGAATGTATTTTAAAATATTTGATTATACTTTTATCAATTGCTCTACTAGTTATTATTTATTTTACTGCTATTGGTTTCAATAGCAAACAAGTTCCCTTAAAGTACTTGACTGAACTATAAACACACCTTGGTCCTGGCAAGCAGTGGGGCACCTCGTTCCAGGAGAAGCTCTACAACTTGGTCATGTCCACTTCGTGCAGCACAATGCAGTGGTGTCAGCCCATCCTTTGAAAACAGCAAAAACAGAAACCATGTTCTTTTACCTTGGAGTCAAACAATCATTTGACTGTACTGCTAATAAAATCTTGCAGCAAAATTAGATCTTTAGTGGCAATGATGAAGTATTTGCTTTAGATTTTCTCCAATAGAGAACCCTCAGTAATGATCCATCATTAGTCAGATAGCACTGGCATTAATAAGTTTATGCAGCTCAGAAAACTGGCATTAAATTACAAGTATTTTTGTATATTACATCTAGATAATCTCACTAATGCACAGAATTACTGCTAGGAGAGATAGTTATACGTATTTCTATGTGCCAACTGTAATTTATTAGCAATGAAAAGAATAATAAGAACCATTAAGAATAAGTCTCTTTCAGAAATATCCAGTCTGACTGTATAATAGAAAATTATAAAAAATCTTTTCATGTAATTATTTCTGAAGTGTGGGTGGATCAGTTCGGGGCATATGCATTCCAAATTAGGATGCTGAGGGCCTGCCTTCCATGCAAGCTAGGAAAAGAGGGTCAGAAGACAAAGAGCTTCTGTCTGTGTTCCATTCCTGTGGAATAGCTAGTACTTTTGGGCAGTTTTCGGCAAGAAAAAAACAGAACTGATTTTCAGAAATGTAAATTTATAATTTAAATTAAACTGGACTTTCTGGTTTTTCTTTGAAGACGTTTTGCTTCTCATCCAAAAAGGTTCTTTAACTGAAGCGTCCTGGATGAGAAGCAAATTGTCTTCAAGAAAAACAAGGAAATTCAGTTGCCTCTTGAAAAAGCACCTTTGGGACAACCATGATCTGGATGACTGAGAATGTCCCTAGAGTCTAGGGCCTAGACAATTTAAAGTTTATGTGGCTGGATTCTGTTCACCTGAGGTAGTTGTTTATTGTTATTTTATTATGCATGGTATAGAGTACAAGCAGTCCTTGATTAACAACCATGCATTTGGCAAATGTTCAAAGTTACCGTGGCACCGAAAAAGGGTAACTTGCAACCAACACTTATGATCATCAAGCATCCCCATGTTCACGTGATCAAAATTAGGGACTTGTCAATTATCGTGTATTTATAACAGTTGCAGCAGCCTGAAGTCATGTGATTGCCTTTTGAGAGCTTCCCATTTGGCTTGCGATGAGCAAAGAAAATGGGGGAAGCCAGATTTGCTTAATGACTGCATGATTCACTTAACAACTATGGTAAAAAGGGCATAACATTGGATGAGCCTCATTTAACAACTACCTTGCTTAGCAATGGAAATTCTGGTCCCAATAGTGGTTGCAACCCAAAGACTATCTGTAACTAATTCTCAGTTTCTGGTAAAATTGCAAATTGCTTGAAATAATTTCTCTCTAGTATATCTTAAACTCAAAAATATCAAAGGTTATTTTTGATTTGCTCACCCTTTCCTTTTTCCTGACTGAATATTCTTTTCTTTAATTATTCATGTTCCTTTCTTCCTTCTGAGCCAAATCCCTATTTATTCACAATTTCTTAGGTTTTACCTTAATGATAGAATATTGGTACTTTTCTTGTTTTTATGGTTTGTTTTAGCAACCTTATATCTTCCTGTCACAGAATAAAATATTTTCTTGTTTTCTAAGTTTAGGCTGTTGGGATGAGGGAGGTTGCATAGTGACATGGCACAATTGATTGTGCCTCACACATACTTTTTGGGCACTGCTGACTTGATTGAGTTACACTGGATTTCAGGGGCTCCTAACAATAATGATAAAACAAATATGATTTCTTGTTTTTCCTGTAGATACTAATACAATCCATTTTGACAATACATATTCTATTTTTCTACTCAACAGTCATATCTTTAGCTGTAAGGCTTTTATATTATAAATTATGCAAATATTATTCACTTACATATGACTATGACAAAATAGACAAAGCAAGGAACAAAAATGATGCAAGCTGAATCAAAGTTGGACACAAAGATATTGCACAGTCACATGACGCCAACAAATGAAACCAAAAGTCTGGAATCTCCCACACTGAAAAATGTCTTGAAAAATAGGAATTTATATGCAAATTGGATTGCCAGTCCTTTCAGATGTCAATGTCTCTATGCTGGCAGTTCAGAGCAATACTCCCATCTGATGTGGGTGATAAATTAAACAATAAAGTCATTTAAAATCTTTTTCAGAAGAGTAATCTTACGGAAATAATAGAATCTGTGATTATATTTTCATCAAGTATTGTTCCCTGTTTGGAAGAAAGAATAAAATAGACTATGGAATGTTAGATCTGTTAGAATACTTCTATCCGTAATCATATCCCAGAATCTTGAATTAGAAAGGCCATTGATAGCTACTATATCAGCTGCCTAAATAAATCTTTTGTCTTCATTATAGATGTAGAGGTTCCCTTGGTTTTCTTTTCCATTCTCTTTCATCAGCTGTTTAGCTGGGTAGCACAAGTTAACCAGAGTTTTCTGTAGAAAGGTCTTCTTGAGCTTACTGTCCGCACAACTTCATGAAGGTACCTTCACTATCAGCTTTTAGGAAAACTTTAAAGACCTTATCATTTCCTCAATGGGTTCTATTAACCTGTTCTATAATTTAAACATAATTGAGTTTAAAGTAAACCCACATTTTAGCAGAATTGTATTATTAAAGCAAAACACGTGCATAGGCACCCATCTTAAAACAATTCTGGCCAGCTTGCAATCAATAAAATCATGTAAAGCCAACAATAACAAACTAAAAACAAACAGGAAAAAAAATCAGATCTTGTCATCAAGCCACACCTCCCTGGTACATCCATATTCTAATCCTACCCAGACTTCACTCTATCACAAAGCTTGGGGAAAGAGCCAAATTTTAAGTACTCTAGGCAAAGACAGAAGAGTGAGGTCCGTTGAATGTTAGCAGGGAGAATGATCCATAAAGCAGGGGCTGAAATGGAAAAGGCATACTGCCAAGGTCTCACAAGCTGGCAATGTTTAAGGGAAAAGTGTTCCTATCTTGTACAGAAAGATAGCCTCAGAGAGAGATAGTCCCTCAGATTACTTGGTCCCACACAATGTGGGACTTTAAAAATAGCATCTAGCACTTTGAAGTGCACCCAGAAGAAAACAGGGATCTGGTGCAGCTTTTGATAGGGGTACAATAAATCACTACATGCACCATTGCATTCTGGACCAGTTGTAACTTCTTTTAGGGGAGTCTCACGTAGAGCACTTTCCAGTAATCCAAATGGATTGAAGTTTCACCCAAAGTTTATAAACTGAAAGAAAGGTTCTGTGCACTTTGAAAATTAAAGCTTTTTTTTAAAAAAAAAAACAGTAACAGGGTAGCTTTAAAAAAAAAGATCAGGCCATTTTAATGAATAACAGAGAACTGGAACTTTTGCACAAGCACTTTTTCAGAATGGTTTTCTGATAAGAGCAAATGCTACATTTGATCTTAATCAAAAGGCCCAGATTCATTGTCAAAGTACATGCAACCAAAACAGAAAGAGTATCTATTCAAAAAAAAGAGTTTTCACTAATGGAAGGATATATATTCTCGTAGAAGGATTTCTTCCATGAATAAATAGCACTGTGTGAATTTCCTTCTGCTCACAAAGACAAAATGATCTTCTAAAAGAATGTATTTTGATGATTAGAGTTCTAGCCCCTTCCAAGAATTTTTTTTTTTAAATGCACGAGAACATATATTCAGGGAATAAAACACTCACCCTGGTTTTGGCATCGATCTGCCCTCCACGATCCAACAAGAGCTTCACCATGTTAGTGTTCCCTCTTTTGGAAGCCACATGCAGTGGGGTGATTCCATTCTACACCATGAAAAGAACAAACGAAAGCATGATGGGGTTGGAGACATTCAATGGGAATGGTTTTGCATTTTGACACAAAACAGTACAGAATATAAACACAGATGTATCACAGAGTACATTAAACATTTAAAAACAATTATATCTGATTCATAAAGACTACCAATCAAAACCTGACTACCAGGTATATAGTATGACTATCTAAACATGACACAACATAAATGTTTCTGATAGAGATGTGCATTAGAAACATAACATTTATGATGTGTGACGTTTAGCATTTCATTAGAATGAACAGATGATTAATAAAGGTAAAAAGACTCTCAAGTTGTTTGTATCATCGCTCAGATCATGGCAATGATATGAACAGATCTGGATAGTTTTCTAAGCAATGTAGCAGAAGTGATTGCCACTGCATGCTTGGTTAGAAAAAAATGTTGGATCCAAGCATTCTGAATGAAGGTTTATAAAACATTGTGTTTTAATGATCAGAGTTCTAATCCCTAGCCCTGGGATTTCCTCATATCTTCCCATCAAGTCCAACCAGGCCCAACCCTTTTTAACTTTTTGCAAGATCGATTGAGGTCATTCAACATCCTCCTCCTTTATTACAGTGTACGACAAGAACAAGATCCTCTACTTCTTTCTGGATAAGCCATGGGTTATGAATAAGGCACACAACTTAACAATTAAGAAGGTATAGAGTTTCCTGCTAGAGCAGGCAGCTGGACTAGTAGACCTCCACGGTCCCTTCCAATTCTGTTATTCTGTTATTATTTAAAATAAATAAAAAATGATCAGGGTAGCCGGACAACCTTTTCCATTAGGAAACAAGTTCCATTAACTTCAGTAAATAATGTGCAGGTTATCAATGATGCCACCTGCTAGTATTTCACCTATTTCCAAGTCCTTTGAGAGACATCTCTATCCGGTTACTTGCCCATCCCCTCAGAACCAGCAGGAGGGTAGATCCTATCCCTAATGATATGACCTAGAAGGAAAGCATTTTCTCCTGTGGTAGCTGAAGCCCAAACCCTATTGTCTATTTGAAAGCCCTTAAAATATTATTTTGTCATCAAGGCTGAGATTCCAAAAACTATGGAGTCCACTGAATGATATTGTTTGTAAGTTTGGAATGCTTTCTCCTATGGTTTTTATTTTAGGATAGTTTTAGCTGTTTTAATTGTGTTTTAATTGTTGTTTTTAATTGTTTTGATTTTGTTGTTGTTATTTTAATGGTGTGTACCTCCCAGAGCCACAAGCATTGGAAAGGGAGCTACATAAACTTAACAATAAAATAATAATTCCTGAGAACTAGAAAAGGATGATAATTGTGTCATTTAAGTGTGTAAAATTAATTAGATGTGTAAAGAAATAATAGCATTTAGCATTAAGGCTTAGAGTAACCTAGATTAAATGTAATAAAAGCAATGATATATGTCCAAATTTTTTTGATTCATGCAAGTAAACCCATAATTATCACGTGTGCTTTTTTAAAATATTATTTTAAATATATTCTTTTACACATTCTTTTAAATATAAATTTGGGTGTTGCAGTGCACTCCTATTTAAAATTTTAAAAGATCAAAACGTCAAAAGTTTTACTGCAGACATACATAAACAAACAATATGAAAGACAAAATGACCTTCACAGCTATATTTATATTCTATTAAATATCTAAGTAGAAGAAGCCAATTATCATAACAAATTATTCACATTAAATGTCTTAAAGATGTCTGAAGATTTTGTTTCATTTCCTATTCATGAATAGTAAATAAGGATTTGGTATGATGGTAGGAAATAGAAGGAAAAAACATTAAAAACCACTTTAAATATATGAAGAAAACCAATCCTAATAAGATGTAGAAATTAAGCAGGGGAAAACATTTGAGCTATCAGACAGTTAATAATAGCTACTCTGTGAGAGAGAGATAAGTAGTGTCTAAATATGACAAATAAATAAAATAGTTAGATGGTGAGTTATAAGATGTTCAAAATTAACAGCACAATCCTGTGTATACTATATTTGCTCCAAAATTAATCCTACTGAATCAAATAAAACTTCTGTGCAAGAATATGTAGGATGCAAGTGACTTACAGCTGAAAAGCTGTACTGTTTTTTTTTAAAGTAAGGTTTTATTTGTACGATTTCAAGAATTAGACAAAGTAACTTTATATAAATACTTATATAGCTTGTTCAAAATATTTCTAAATTTATTTGAGAGGCCAATATCTATTTTTTTAAAAAACAAATGCAAACCAGTTTATCAAGAATAGTTAAAACATAAACACCTTGCTCATCACAGGAATATAATTCAATAATTTCTAAGAGCTGCTGCAATATGCAAATGTTTGTCCTTGCTGAAATATGAGTTCGTTTGATGCCCTAATGAGGTAAATTTGATCATCATGAAATGATTCATAGAGATAAATGAAGGATTCAATTGTTTCCCTCACAACAAAGGATAAAGATAAACTTTAGTGTATCTTGTGCTGATGTAAAACAAACCAATCACTGTATAGTTTAGAGTGAGAACAAAGCAAATTATGAAGTGACAGTACCATGACTCTAGAGAAGTAACATGATCCATATGAAGATCTATGTGGGGAAAATGAATTAATAAAGCAAAATTTCCCAATGTACTAACTTGAGACAATTGTTGTAGCCATGATGATATGTGGGAAAGATCTTGGGAGACTGGGAAACTGCTAGATTCTATCAATGTAGAATAAGGTAGAATGAATTTGTCTGTTTGTGATTCAATGGTAATTTCTCAACTCTGAAAGTGCAATCCTTCCATCTCTGCTTGCTTTAGAGGCAAAGACACTGTGGAAGGTTCCTTCTAAACCTCCTGCATCACTCATTATCTGACCATTCCCTTGGCATGATGCCTTGATCAAGTCCTCCCAAGGTCTTTCTCACATATTGTCCTACATGTGCTTCAACGTCTATATAAAAATTTAAAGGAAACTTTCATAATGGAAAATCTGCTTCCATCTTAATCTGTCAGAGGTGTGGGTGGAACAAGCAATACCTCGATGATTGAGAGAAAGCAGCTGGTGCCTCAAAACCTGTCAAGGTAAGCATGCTAAAGAATAATAAAGCTTTTGGTTTTTCTACCATACATTTTTTTCTTGAATGCCCAATTCATAGCAATTCTTAATTTAAATAGAGATTAGTTAAAAATGAAGCAATACACACATTATATTAATACAGCTAATCCTCAATTTACAACAATTTGTTTAGTGACTGTTCAAGGTTACAATGGCACTGAAAAGAGTGAGTTATGATCGTTTTTCACACAACCGTTGCAGAATCCCCGTAGTCATGTGATCAAAATTTGGACACTTGGCAACTGATTCATATTTATGATGATTGTAGTGTCCTGGGGGGAGGTCATTTAATGACCTTTGTGACCTTTTGACAAGCATAGTCAATGGGGAAGTCAGATTCACTTAACAACTTTGTTACTAACTTAACAACTGCAGTGATTCACTTAACAACTGTGATAAGGTTGTAAAATGAGGCAAAACTTGTCTAACAATTGTTTCAGCAACATAAATTTTTGGCTCAATTGTGATCATAAATTGAGAATTACCTGTATTAAATATATTTTTTGCTCATTTACAGTGGTACCCTGTAAAAATATAATGAATGCATTATAGTCAACTATTTTCTAACTATGAAACATGATATTATTTCTAAGGGAAAGGGGGATGGAGAATCATTGCCTTTAAATAATCTGTAAATAGATTTCCTTTCCTTCCTTATTTCCTTTCCTTCCTTATTTCTTTCCGTGTTTTCTTCTTTCCCTTTCAGTATATTTCCTTGAAAATTCTATGTGCCGAAATTGAGAAAGCATACCCTTGCTGTGAAGTCTACAACAGCTCCTCGGTTGAGTAGAAGTGTCGCTACATTAACATTTCCATAATGTGCTGCTATGTGCAAAGGTGTGAAGCCACTCTGCAAAAATAAAACAGTCCTAATTAGAAAATCCAGTTCTTTCTTTCCCCCACAAGACAATAGTTAACTAAACTGACCACTATTGAGCACTATAAGCCAGAATTGCTTTCCAACTTCTGGACTACTCTAATTGTACAAGAATTAAATGTTATGGCTTCTTATTTGTTCATTCCATTATTTATTCATTTTTCTTAGTTCAGATGCAAAACTCATTTTCTTTGTTTTTTGAGAAAATATTTTTTAATACTTATCAGGTACTGTATCAAATTCTGCCATGCTACTTATTGACTCTCCATATAATTTAGAAAGTGAGGGATGTTGCGAACAAAATATGGATCTAAGAGCTGATAAAACTATAGATGTCCATGCTTAACTATCCATCTTCTATGGCAAATTTCCATAGTTGTCTACAGAAAGCAATTCTGTGAAATTAAGGGGTAGCTTCTGTAAAGTGCTTTTAACATCCAATTGTGGACATTTTTATCATTCTTCCTTCAATAAAATAGAATCTGTGCTCCGCTGAGCTGGGAATTCTTTAAATTGGAACAGAGTTCCACTGATTTCAGTATATTAAATTGCCCAGCACTTGAAAACATAATAAATTATGAAGAGGGAAAGAATCTCAGAAATTTAAAAATGCCATTTGTAAGTAACAAACAATCCAAACCAATTGTCCAGATGAATATTTTGGAATGGATTTATACTGCTACAGAAATAAATTCATGTTATAGGCAATTGTTCTGTACTTAATAATTCCTCTGCAGGCCCATTATTTTAGTTCCCTACTCTACTATGAAAAACAAATACAAAAATCTTGAGTATCTCAAAGCCAAAAAACAAAATAAAAAAGATGAGACAGTATATATTTCTGCCAAGACTACATAAAAATGAAATGTGACACATTCTGAACTGAATGGAATGGCGGCCGTGACGGCGGGGGGATGAAATGATTTTCAGTAAAGGGCTGGCAAGAATAGGTTAACAAAACTGTTGGGTTTTGGTACCTCAGTTGTTCTATTCACCATCATCTGTTGAAGCGTGTTTTGGAAAAAAGAGGAAAGATATTACAGATTGGTAGAATGAAAGAAAGCTCACTTGTTCTCTAACATAAATTACAATCTTGTTACTAGGAAAAAAACAAACCTGATATGCATAAGTAATTTCTAATGCCAGTGTATGGAATCTCACATTTCCATGGATTACACAACCCAAAACTATTTAACTACAAAACTTTTTAACAGTTGTTTCCCCCCAGTAAATAGTCAAAAGTCTAAATTTTATATTTCAGAATCTAAAGCACAGTATTAATTGGATTGTATTTTCAAAGATAGAGAGAATTGAAGAATCACAGGAATTCAACCCAAGAAAAAGGAATCTGAAGAATGAAGTCCAAATCTTCTTGCAACTGTAAGAAAAAGGGGAGGGTTTGCTGCATATATATGATTCAGCAGCTATGTTAGTAGCTTTTATAGTGCTGAATGCTTATTATCCACATTAAGATATTTTATAAATATGATATAAACCATAAATTAATAAATATATGAATAATATGTGGCAAATGGTTACACTTCCAATTTCACTTAAAAAAAAACACCATTTTTTTTTTATCCTGCTCATTGGGGGAAAATACAGTAATCCTTGGAAATATATTTTTGATACCATCCTGGAAAAAGAGGTAATTTTTTTTACCTTAGACTGAACATCTGCATTATGATCATTCTGGAGAAGAAGCGCTGCTGATTTGGTGTCATCTTTTCTGGCAGCAATATGCAGTGCCGGCAGTCGCACTTTCCCCTTAGTGTCATTCTCCAAAAGAATAGCCACTGCCTGATTGTGTCCTTGCTGCAATGCAACTGCTAGTGGAGTGAACCCATCCTGTTAGAATGGGGAAAAAGGAGATGATACATTAAAGTTTGGTGCTATCTAGACATGACTTTGGAAGAAAAGTCTCAAGTTCCATTCAGTGGAATAGGCTTGCTTTTGGCTACCACACATCAATGTTGGCTTATCACTGAGGTAATATTACCATTTTAAACACAGTATTCCTTATAAGACTATTCAATCTAAGTTTAGAAAAAAGTTTTCTAAAAGTAAATGAAAGACAAAATCCACATGGCCCTTTTTGGTATAAAGAGCCCTCACACAAATCATATCATTTATCAATAGACAATATTTTTATTATATTCAGGGTGAATATTCACTTGTAGAATCCCACATCAAAGCACATTGTTGATTGCATTATATCCTTGATTCTCCAGATAGCAAACCTAATTTGAAAATAAAGTATAAGGCATAGCTACATTTCTTGTGGTAGTACATCAGGTATTGAAAATGTATAGCCACCCTATCTATTTATCATTTAGATGGAACAAATATATTAGATCATTGTAATTAAGAATATCATTTTAAATATACAGAATGTAGTTTTGTCATAATTCTTAACTTTAAAATACTGAAATTTCAGGAATGTTTCCTAGAAGGACATTTGATAGAAAATAAGCAGAGCATATAAGAAAACATGAATATGTTGAATTAGGCAATATAGTATTGACTATGGTTGGAATTCATGTGACACATAAAAGGAGACAGTAAGAAAAGATTGAAGCCAAATTGATAAAGAGTGCAGATTGTCTCTCATCATCAGATGTGTTTCTTTCTTCTGGAAACTGGGAACAGAATATTAAAACAGGACTGGAGACCTAGGAATCATGTGCAAACACTGGGACCCACAAGGTGGGATCAGAAATAGAAACATGACAGAAGCATCATCATGATGCAATCCCCAGCCCTTTTTAATGTGTATTGATGCAATTACAAAAACAATAGGGATTGAATTGCAATGCTGCTTTGACTACCTGTAACTTGTCTTTTTTGATATATACAAACATCCCAGCAAGTATCACTATGTGCAAAGCTTTCTACACACATTTAAAACAAATTGCAATCTAGCAAAAAAGAAGTGTTAGGACAACCACAAGCTAATAATGGATTCCTGGTTTAGGCCACAATTTTGGTTGGTTGGTTGGTATGGCCCAGCAAATACCAATATGTGTAAATCTTTCCTTATACTGCCATTCAAAACAAGCTGCAATATAGTGAAAGAAGTTTTAGGACAACAGAAGCTAATAATGAATTGTTGGTTTGGAGTTATATACTTTCTTCTGTTTAAAGAAGACAGGAAGTGAAATGGTTTCATTCCAAATCTAGAAACACTCAGTAATGCCTGCTAATATAGTAGGTGGTTTTAGAACTAACAGAGAAAAAAGTGTTATTCATCTCATCCTGTTACATGCATTCACTTAAAATAGAATAACACAACTGCTACTCATTCCTATCATAATATGAGTGCGCTATCAATTCAAATCCTCGCAAGAAATGAATTAATGTATGTGGGGAAATAACCATGCAATATGTTATCATCATCACCATCATCAAATAGCGAAATGTAGGCACCAAGCTCATCTAAGTGATTCATTCATTTGCACTGTTGTTTCTGTCCAGTTGCTTAGTAACCACATGATGTTTCATATCCAGCAAAATTACAATGGGAACATTATGGCTTCTGTCCATCCCAGCAACAAAAAGCTGCAAGGTAACATGACCTCAATCCATTCCAGCAGCAGAAAAGATTATTTTAAAAGCCACTGTCAAATGGAACAGTATCCATCCAATGAAAGGATAGCAAAACAGCTGTTGATACAGACAAGCTTGGCTCCTCTATTAAATACCGTACTATCTTGGATACCCTGCAGTGGGATTACTGTATACCAAGAAGGGTGACAAATTAAGAAATTGATAAGGGATTGCTTCACATTACACAAATGCTAAAGATTGTTTTGTAGATAAATTTATTCATGAATGAGCACTTCTGCAATGTTAAATGTTATCACTGCACTGCAGTATCAAAACAGTAGGGAAATATTTAACCTAGAAATATGGAAGACATAATGAAAACAAAATAGTTTGCAAAGACAAAAAATATATTGTGTTTTCAGAATACCAGGATAAAGTAGGAACCATGATTTTAAAGAAAAGGACAAGCAGAGGAGGAAGAGGAAGATCTGAATACTGTACCTCAGTAGCAGTGCTCTGATTGGCTCCATTTTCCAAAAGATATTTTACTACATCGATATGGTTCTCCTGCGCTGCCATGTAGAGAGGTGTGAAGCCATTCTAAGGGAAAATAAAGTAATATGCAAACCATAAAATTACACACAAAATAACACACAAAATAAAGTGATTCATGAAGCAAGCTCAAGTAGAATCCAAAGGAAAAACAAACAAAACATTCCACTGAACAACTCAATTCTAAGAAATATCAGGTACTTACAAAATCTTCTTTTGGCAAAACGAATTTAAAGCTTGTACCTTTTTAAACATTTGATTTATTAAAGTAAATATCTTGTGAGCCCTATTAAATATGTATTAAGTATGAAACATGAGATTGTAGTGATTTAGCAACTTTATGTGGTTCGGTAAAGCTTAATATACCCTTCAGATTCTTTATGCAGCACTTGTTAATTTAGCATATGCTGCAAGAAATAGGATTTTCAAATAAATAATGTAAAAGTTACAATATTTATGAAGTAAAGAAGAAATCCATTATTTATTGCTTGTATTTAATTAAAAGTAACTCACTGTCCAACATAGAACAGTGACCCTAATCATGGCAGATTTATGGGCTGGAACAATATATATTCCATGGCACTGTAATATAAGGAAAAACTGTTTTGATTATAACAGGACTGCAAAAGAACTTTTATACCTTGATATCCTAACCAGGAGACAAAAAATGTAAACTCAGGACTTAAGGCAAGTGCAGGATTCATATTTTCAAGGAATGCCTTGAAGAATAATACAATTCATTCTAAGTATCAGATTTAATTCTTATAATGCCACAGATTACAAAATACAGTTGTGAGCAGGCTATTAACAGAGTCAAATAAAACATTTGTTGCTTGCATTTTATGTATATCTTTGAAAATGACACTGAAGCATCTCATTAATTAAAAATAGAAACAAAGTAACTTTCATTCTTCTTGTTTAATTCATCCAAGATTAAAACCCAAAGTAATATGTGCAATACACCTTTTATTAATATAGTTTTAAATTATTCACTGTATACAGAGCATATAACATAAGAATTCAGAACAGCTTGATGAATTTTGTGTTATGGTTTTTTAACATCAAGTCTTGCTATTTTTATTTCAGGATTATTACATAGTTCTTCACTTCTGTTCTGAGGTCAGCATGCATTTTCTGGAAATGTATAACATTATGGTAATAAAAGTTCATCATTAAACAAATTTTGTTTGTCATGCCATTTCATTTTTAGCTACTATATGAGCTCAATTTTAAAAAATCCTCAACCAGTCATTGCATGTGTGATATGAAGTGCAACTTTAATGCAATATGAAAAGACACAGATTTACACAGACATTCATTTTAGCATAGAAAATATCAATTAAAAACATGCATGCAAAGAAAATGTACTTGCCAACCAAACTGGAGTTCAAACTGTTTTTAATATGAGAATGCATCAAGTCCAAGATCTATTCAAAACAACTACCAAATGCTGAGTAGACATGCTATATCTCAACCATTAAGTTCGAAGAGTATATGACACTGAAATGTCGACCCATATATCTTCCACGGGAATTCAGCGTGGTTTTGATTACTGCAATCTATATCCCACCTGATGCCAATACTACCATAGCTTTGGGATTCTTGTATAACATTGTTAGTAATCAGCAGAATAAGTATCCTGATGCTGTGCATATCATAGCGGGGGACTTTAATCAAGCTGATTTAAAAGAAGTGCTCCCTAAATTCTATCAGCATATTAAGTGTGCTACTAGAGGAGCAAACATATTGGGCAAAGTATATACCAACATCAAACATGGCTATAAGGTTATACAATTACCACATTTGGGACAATCAGACCATATGTCACTGCTTTTAGCACCAGCTTACATCACTCTTAGGAGACGAGCTCTGCCTATAATTAAGACAGTGAAATATTGGCCAGAAGATGCTTCCTAACAACTTCAGGATTGTTTTGAGAACACAAATTGGGACATCTTTTACCACCCTGACCTAGAGGTGCACACTGCAACTGTTCTGTGCTATATCAAACACTGCACAGATACTATCATTAAACGTATTAGGATCTATCCCAATCAGAAACCCTGAATGACCAAGGAAGTCCAGCACCTCTTGCATGACAGGACCAAGGCCTTTAGGTACGGTGATGGGGCAAGATACAGTGTTGCCAGAGCTAATCTGAAGAAAGGTATTCGGAAGGCCAAGACTGATTATAAGAGGAAGATTGAGGATAATTCTTATAGCAATAACATGAGGCAGGTGTGGCAAGGGATTCAACAAATTACAAACCATCAACTGACCAATGTCATCCCTGCTGAGGGGGATGCTTCATTGGCAGAGGAACTGAATCATTTCTTTGCTCGCTTTGAAATGGAGACATCAGAGACAGATAAAACACAACTACCAGCCAATTGTAGCCCCCACCTCATTGTGGAGAAACAGGAGGTGAGGAGCATTCTGAGGGCTGTGGACCCTAAAAAGGCTGCCGATCCTGACGGTATCTCTGGCCGAGTGCTTAAAGACTGTGCTGATCAGTTGGCTGGAGTCTTTACCAGGATCTTCAATCGGTCTTTATCCCAGTCCACTATTCCATCTTGTTTGAAGTCTTCCACCATTGTTCCGCTGCCAAAGAAGTTCCCTATCAATAACCTCAACGATTACAGACCAGTGGCACTCACTCTTATCATCATGAAGTGCTTTGAGAATTGGTCTGCCGGCACATCGTTTCTGGTCTTCCACATACATTTGATAAACACCAGTTTGCATACAGAAAAAATAGATCTACAGAGAACGCTATAGTCATCACCCTTCACACTGCTCTGACTCATCTAGAACAGCGGGAGGGCTATGTGAGGATGCTTTTTGTGGATTTTAGTTCTGCATTTAACACAATTCTTCCACATAGACTAGTGTCTAAACTTCTGGACCTTGGGCTTTCTAATTCAATCTGCCTTTGATTATGGATTTCCTGTCTGGCCGCTCACAGAGGATCAGATTAGGTAATCATACCTCTTCAGCCCTTATTCTTAACACTGGTACACCACAGGGTTGCGTGTTGAGTCCCTTACTCTATACTGTTTATGTGCATGACTGCATTCCCAGTCACGTTCGTAATACAATTGCTAAATTTGAAGATGATACAACAGTGGTGGGACTTATCTCTGGGGGGGATGAGTCTGCCTACCGAGATGAGGTGGACCGGTTGCTTCTGTGGTGTGGAAACAACAACTTGGTCCTCAACCACCAATAAGACCAAGGAGTTTATAGTGGATTATAGAAGGAACAGGTCAGACATCCAGCCCTTGCTTATCAATGGTGACCGAGTGGAGCAAGTGGCCAGTTTTAAGTTTCTGGGTGTTACCCTAAAAGAGGACCTGACCTGGGGTGCCCACATTGTAGCCCTGGTCAAAAGGGCCCAGCAGAGATTATACTATCTGAGGCTTCTCAGAAAACAACAACTGAATGAGAAACTTCTGGTGATCTTCTACCGCTGCACCATAGAGAGCATTTTAACATACTGCACCTCTGTATGGTTTGCCAATTGCACAGTGGCAGATAGGAAAGCACTCCAGAGGGTTAATGTCATTGCCCAGAAGATCATTGGTTGCCCTCTTCCCTCTCTGGAAGAGCTTTATAGCTCCCGCTGCCTTAAGAAAGTTCAAAACATTCTCAAAGATCTATCTCATCCTGGGAACCCTTTTTTTGAACTATTACCATCTGGCAGACGGTACAGAATAATAAAAAAACAAGGAGAAATAGGCTGAAAAACAGCTTCTATCCAGTGCAGTAGCTCTTTTGAATTCTGCCATATAGTGCAGTGTTGGTGTGGTGTTGGGGGTTTCCAGTTCAATGTGTGAAGAGTGAAGGATGTGTGTTTGTGTTTATTTTCATGGTCATGGTCATGATGTGCACTGAAGATGGTGTTTGATTTCGTTGTACGAGGTGCAATGATAATAAAGTAAACTAAACATAGAATCAAACCAACCACATTATTTCCATAAATAAAATGTCTTCCATTCCCTGGAGAACTTTTTTTAAATTCAAAAGCTAATCTTTATTTTAAAACATAACGAATTCTGCATAATCGTACATATAATATCTAACAACAAATTCTAATTTTGCATCAGGAGACCATTTTAATGAAATTTAGTTATATGCAGAAAACAGAGATACATCCTAAGTAATCACCACATTTGAATAAGGCCATGGCTCTAAGGCTACCTGGTCGCTTGGCCCTGTATGAATTCTCTCTTAAAAGGACTGTGAAAACTGATAATATCCCCACATCTAAGTACTAAAAACCCAAAACATTCTCAGCATAAAATATGAAAGAATTTAATTCACGTATAACTACTGTTATCTCTGAATTCTCAAATTATTGATTTCCAAAATAATATATACATTTTTGGAAAGCTTAATTGTTACCAAAAATAATCAAAAGAAATTTTAATGATTTACTATTAAATCAGGAGGCAGTAAATTCCAAAACCAAGCTACATTTACCTGTTGATTTCTTTCTAACATAAATCTGCATTAAATTTCAGTTGCAAAAGTGTAATAATGTTCTACAATGTCTGCCATTTAATGTCTGAGCCAGACTATCATTATTTTCTGGATCAACTGTATCTGGATCAAAATTCAAAAACTGAACATCTGTTATAATGACTACAGGCAGTGCCTAGATAGAATATTAAATGCTACCAATAACTGAGCTGAAAAAAAAATGGAATAATCATTTCATCTGGGGAAGATTTGTTTTGCTTTTTTATGGAATTACAATTCCATTTTTCTGTAAAATGCATTTTAAAGTTAATTGACTATTTTATATTTCTCTCTATATATCTGTATCTATATCTTGAATATATATTCAAGTTCAATGTATTTTTGGCATACAGTAAGCAAAGATTAGTAATGAAAGTTTATTTAATTAGAAAAAGAAATGCAAATTTCTTGAGCTTCAGTAAATTTATAATAACTTTCCCCAATGAAAGAAAGAAGAACAGAAGGATAAAATTGGTCCACATTTACTTCCAAAATCTAAAACGAAAACAAAATAAATTAACCACTTTGATGGACATCCTATGTTATCATTTTTTAAATGGTTGTCAATTTGCTTCTGAGTGCCATTGAAGGTGCTGGCTACCACATATACAGTGCATGGAGCCTGTATTACTGTCTTCCATAGTTTTTCCCCCCAGGTAATTTATTTTGGCAGGATTGGTGTGTTCAGGATCCATTGATTAAACAATGCTATCTTTTGTGACCCCAGAAGCAGCCCTTCTCTGTAGCAACACTTATCCTCTGGAATGAAGTCTCCATTCAAGATTCAAATCCTCACACACACACACACACCCTTTATTTCAAAGGGCTGAAATGTGGAGTCCTTGGTGCTTTCTGAGCTTGGCTGTTTCTCTGCAGACATTTTGTAAACCAAACTAGGCAACATTATCACTGGTAATGATCATGTTCTTCATGCAGGCCTTTGGTAAATATGATGAATGTCCCTTTTCTTCCTTTTTCGTCCTTATCCAGGTTTGTTTTCTCTGCCATCTCCTTTTATTGTGTGCTGTTTTTGTGGGACGGATTTGTTTGCATTGTTAATTAAATGTTTTTTTAACTATTTGTAAACCAATCACTGGGAGTCAAGTGGCATGCAAATTTAAAAAACTATTATTGATGTACATTTGTGTTAACATTAATGTAGGACCACAGGTATGGTGTAGTGATCCAGCAAAGAACATACACATACATACATACATACATACATACATACATACATACATACATACATATATAAAATTAGGATCTGGAATAAAAGTAGACACATTTACTAATATTAGTAGATGTGTCTACCCCATCTAATCCATTTTCTACTTTTTCATTTCTCCATGATACTATACCATGGAATTTATTCATAATATTTACATATACTAATGTGCAGGCATGCAATATGTTGCCATTAATATACTGTTGCAGAAAACAAGTAAAATTGTGTATCTGTAAGATGCTATTCTGTTCTTTCATTCTTTTCTCTTTGTTATTCAATTCCTTTGTATAATATGAATCTTCAGTGAGCCTTTCTATTATGCAACATTGCTGCCTGTGATGCAGCAAAAAATATGTAGGATCCAAATCTACGCAACATGGATTTAATACATACACTCATACTTATTTGCAAAGTCAAAGTCAGCTACAGATGATGTTTAGGGTAGTCCAGTCGACCACAAGCATATTAATAACATATCATTAAGGTGTATATTTGTATACTTTATAATATACTTCATTTATAGATATATTTATTTGTACATAGTATACATTACATACTAAATATACTATGTCAGTTTAAGCTCAAAAATAAATAACTCATTAAAAATTATTTTTTAAATCTCACTGTTATCTGAAAGTTGTCTAGACAATTTTAAAGAACCTGTTCATAAAAATCAAGAAACAATGTAAAACGATAGAACATTAATTTTGTCCACATTAAAATGGGACAAAATATAACACAGCCTTAAAAACCTAATTTACAACACAGTAACAAAGTTCCTAAGATGAGAGATCTCAGTCTTGAATACCTACTAAGCTAGTTTCCATTAATGGTAGAACATCACTAACAATAAATTAGACAGCACTTCGCAAATATGGAAGATGCAATTCTAGTATTCCAGCAACAAATGATTTAGGGATTTAGTAACTAAATAGCAGTTTGAAAACCATCCAAACTGGGAATTGCTTATTATAATGCCTGACCAAAATCTAGCTATCAGATTTTATGTAAGTATATCTTACAATTGTTTAACTATTCAAAGATAGATTCCAGCTGGATAATGTGGGGTTTTGTTCATTTGTATTTGAGCCATCAAGTCAGTGTTTACTCCTGGTGACTGCCTGAAGAATCCCTGAATTTTTGTTGGGAAGCTTTGTTTGGAGATGCTTAGCTACCGCTTCCTTCCTAGGGATGAGGGTCACCCATCTGGTGTGGCCCAAGGCATGACTAGAAGTCATGGTCTCTGCTTTCTTTTATAATGCTTTAACCACTATGCCAAACTGGTACCATGGCCAACATTTTTAGGGTCAAGAGCTGCCCTTAATGTTGTATGAAGCATGCCAGTTATAATTACTGGCACAATGTTCGGCAAAGTTATAGTCCCCAAGCTACTTAATTTTAATTTAATTTTAGAGGCATCCCAGATAATTTTTGGCAAATTACACTGGTGGGTTTGGATAGAATTCCAAGGATAATACAAAAGAGGCCACCTATAAACCTTGGCTGTAACTTCTCCATCTCCAAGTAGGCTAACCAGAATCTAGTCAAAATAATGTATGCAGTTTTTTGTTGAAAGAACTCTGATTCAGCTTTTAAAAATTAACATTCCTTAACTTCCCAGCTATTCCAACATTTTGAAACAGCTTATCAACTATAAGAGGGGAGGCCTCAGCTCTTAGAGTTTAATGCTTTTTAGACCAGCAGTTCTCAACCTTTCTGGCTTGGTGGATCAACGGAGGAGTGGGGGAGGGGATGGTTCCATTGAGCGGTGGAATTTTGGAGTTTCACGTGTCAGTGCCTGCCACTGCACAAATGGAGCTTCATGTGAGTGTCCACTACTCATGTAAGTGGAGCTGCACTCATGCTCGCCTGCCACTTATGTGGCCCAGTTCCAAAGAGGCTGTGGCCCGATAGTGGGTCATGACCCAGGAGTTGGGGGACACCTTCTTTAGACTATCCATACTAATATTATGCAGGCATGAAATTGGGTGTATGTATGTTTGTTTCTAAATGTATTGTATTCAAATGAGTTTGCTAAATTTCCCAAATAAATGCCAACCATGTGGGATTATTTGAGATTGTTTTGACATGTGATCATGATCATTAGACATTAAAATATTGTAAAAATATTGATGCATATAGAAATGCCTTCATATACTTCAATAGAAATACATATTTTATACCTTTTATACCTTGAGGGCCTTTTGTGTGATGAACCTCGATAGCATCATGCACAGATTAAGAATTTTTATCTGTTAATAGATGCCCCTTTATTTAAAAATTTGTCAGTTCCTTTCTGTTCTTTCTCTCCCTCCAGAACAGGAGGCCTCTTCTGTTTTGCTGGTGTGAGTCAGCAATTACAAAAATAGATCAAAGAATACTGTCTCAGATACCAAGGCATTTCCTGAATATAAGGGGGTGGGTGAGTAGGAAAGAATTATTCCAGATGCTACCTTGTAGTTATGGCTTGCGAATAATCATTGCTCATTATTATGGTAAAAACTTCAGACTTTTAGAGAAAATAAAAACATAATAACGCTGTATTTTAACTCTGTATTTTACATTTGCAAAGATATAGTGATTAAGCAAAATTGGTCACTTCTATTGGTAGTTCCTTGTTTATTAGACATACAGCTGTATATGAACCAATTTGTAATATTTTTAGGAATGTTTAAAAATGTTATTGTGTCACTAGGGTATTTTTAAGCTGCAATACATCTAAAATTTAGGGGGGGAAATCTATCCTATGTTTGGTGACTGCTTTTGCAAAAGGATATGTGAATACCAGATTATAAAGGATGGCTTAAATAATCCAGAAATGATTATTTGATATTATTGACGATAATATGCATCATTTATAAAACAGTTTCTTTAGCTGCATCTGCTGGAAATTGTTAATATCTATATGGATATTGAATAAACTGTGTACTTCACTATATATGTCATCAATTAACCTTGAGACAATTTTTATTTAGATTAAAGTGCATATATATATATATGCAGAAAGTTGCACATATATGTCAACTTACCTGAGACTGTGCATTAATATTAGCTCCTTCCTTAACTAGAACTTTGACCACTTCAGCCTGTCCCGCCAAGGAAGCAATATGTAGTGCAGTATTTCCCTTCTGCTTTGCACAAAATAAAAATGCACACTTTAATTTAAATTTTACCTAGAATTCAGAGCAATATACTGTACAATCTCTGTAACATTAATAAAAATATGAATTAAATGTTGATTTTTTTCCATTACAAAATGTTCAATATCTTCCATTTCCTTTATAACTGGATTTAAATTAAGATTATCCAAACACATTTCTAGGAAAGCAATTATATTTATTCTTTTAAAAATAAAATAAAATCAATACTGTTGGTAGGCATTTTCATTAGGAAGCACCACAATTTGGGAATAATTTACTTAAATAGTTGTTTCCAATTATGAAATTCTGTCAGCAACATGAACATTGAAATATAGTTATGCATATCCATTCCTAATAAATCAGCTCAATTCTTTCGGCAGCTGAAAGAAAACAAAGGTTCTAATCCATAATGAAAGAAATTATGAAATTAATTCAAAATTTACTGTTGGCTTATTTAGCAATTAACCAATTCTTGGTTTCTTTAAAAAATAATAGAAATTAAAAATTCTACAAGCTGCACATAAGAAGGAGCAGGTAATGGGAAAACAAATGAGTTTATACTTGTTTCAGACTTGCCCTGCCTGTCTTAGTTAAATATTAAGTCCTGATTTTAGTATAATAAATCCAAAACAATCATTACTTGCAATAATTCTTGCAAAGTTTCACAGAATTAAAATTGTGATTCATGTGCAGATGAAATTTCATTCAGGATTAGGAAGAGAAAGCAACATTATTTGGGAAATTATATGGAATATACGAAGGCCATAATTTAGAAATAAACTTTAAATCATTAAAACATTTACTAATAGATTTTACCATTCACTCCTTTGGGTTAATGATATTTTTCTAAGCACCTGGACAATAAATAGTACCTTTGTTGCAGAATCAACTGCAGATCCTCTTTCCAGCAATTCCTGAACCAAACCTACATGGCCTTCTTTGGCAGCCAGGTGTAAGGCATTAAGTCCATTCTGTAAACAAATAAATTATATTGCTAATTTGGAGGTTACAGTGACATGTCAGAATGTCATATTATGCACATCGTTTCTCAACTTCAGTGTAAATTATAGACCTAACAAGACTGGAGCAATAATTCCCAGGGTGGAAAAATGATTAAATCAGCATAGAGCAGGTACTGTCCAAAACTATAAACAGTCAAATAATAATTTATAATTTAGGTGTGTGTATTTAATTTATCATTTTTCTACCTTTTCCAATCTTACAAGAATCTGAAGAATTCAACCAAGAAAAACAATATAAATATAGATAACATCTATGTAACACATAGAAATCAACTCATTAGTTGCCTACCATCCTTCCAAGGGCCAAAGTCCTTTGGAAATAAAATTGTCTTCAGAGTTTTTCAGAACCAGAAGAGAGTTGGGCCCAGATGCACCTCCAGACAAAACACCCTCATCAGTAATGCCTTACATATACACCCACAACTTGTACCTTATAGATGTTAAAACAGGATTGGCAGAATTATATTTGAAAAGGCATTCCTAAATGTATTGCAAGGAAAAGTAAATGCAAATATATTGAAAGAGATGGATGAACTTAATTACAACAGCAATGGGTACACCATTAGAAGATTTAAAGGACCAGATCAGTTACAGCATAGCTGGGATAACTTATTTATATGGTCATTAAGAACTGACACTGATTTGATTTGAATTGATTCAATCCATCAAGTCTTCAGGTATATAGTGCTGTGCCATATAGGCTTTTCTAGATAATGACTTCCAAAGCATCCTTAATGCAACATTTGAGTGACATCAGAATACTGATGACATTTCATTCAAATTTGTGGGTGTGATTTCCCAATAGTTTGCATATATATCTTAAATTTTAGAGAACTTAGTTAGTTGGTATAAGGTACCATGAGAAGCTTCGAAGTAAAACAATTGGTTCCAAAAACTGTGTGTTCCCAAATCACTTGCCCAGCTCATGGATAAACACCAGACCCTTTGCTTAGTAATTTAAATAGTATGGCATGCACTGACTGGAATTTTAGGGCTATCAGAGAATACTTGAAAACTAACTTATTCTTCATCAGTTGCAGACATGCAAGTCCATGAAAAGATATAAATGTAAGTGTTCAGTTTGCATGCTTTAAATCACATCTTCTCCTTTGATTATAGAACTCTGCATAGATTTGCTACAGTATACAGATCACAAGCTTGCTAATACATTTATTAGTATTTAATATGACACAAGGCACCATGCAACAAATATATTGAAAAGATACAATAGTTCATTCTGTTGAGACAGTTATGTGGAAGTTATACATATAGGCAAAGGTACTGAGCATTAAATAAACTAACACAACACTACACATAAGATTTAGTTGTAATTGTCAGTGGAATCTGCAAAAGGTCAGTTGAGCACAATCAAATCTATTTAGAAGAGAGACTGGCTAGAAACCAAATACTGCTTAACTGATTAAATGGATCAAAGCAGGAAAAAAAGACACTGATGAAAAAAACTCATGTTGATTTTTCATTATCCAGAGGTTTTTCTATGGATCAGAAAACAGAAGATCAGTGTTGTTTTTTTTAGCTTTACACTAAAGTGTCCTATTTTATTTTAAGAAAATACTGCTGTGAACCTACAGGAAAGTGATATTTATGAAAGGAAAATAGAAAAGCAGGCCCTAGTTGAATGATAGTTGTGTATAGCATTAAGACTGTCTTTTTAAAACTTCAGTATTGCATTTCTTTATACAACCAAGAAACAGATTCACAATTAAAAGAGGTCACATAGAAAAGTGTGACAGGCATTAAAGTATAACACAACTAAATAGTGTTTATTTTAACATGTCCCATTACTATCTATCATGTGTAAATAAATATCGTATGTGTAAATGAAATTGTTTATTCTTTCTTTATCATTTATGGCAGCTAGCGACAATCTCTAAATTCAGAAAATTGTAAACTTCTTTGTTTACAAAATTATCAGAGCATCTGCTTTTATTGTGATTTTAAGGGTTATATAATATTACTAACATTCTTTATCTTTTAATTAATGTTATGACAGACAGGGACATGGAGAGGAGGGAGAGAGAGAGAAATAACTGAGTTTAAGCAGATAATTTTTCCCTCAGTTCTTAAAATGTAGTTTTTATGACAAACATTTGCCATATACAGGTAAAACTCGAAAAATTAGAATATCGTGCAAAAGTTCATTTATTTCAGTAATGCAACTTAAAAGGTGAACCTAATAAATGAGATGGACTCATTACATGCAAAGCAAGATAGTTCAAGCTGTGATGTGTCATAATTGAGATGATTATGGCTTACAGCTCATGAAAACCCTAAATCCACAATCTCAGAAAATTAGAATATTGTGAAAAGGGTCAATATTCTAGGCTCTAGAGTGTCCCACTCTAATCAGCTAATTAAGCCATAACACCTGCAAAGGGTTCCTGAGCCTTTAAATGGTCTCTCAGTCTGGTTCAGTAGGAAGCACAATCATGGAAAAGACTGCTGACCTGACAGTTGTGCAGAAAACCATCATTGACACCCTCCATAAGGAGGGAAAGCCTCAAAGGGTAATTGCAAAAGAAGTTGGATGTTCCCAAAGTGCTGTATCAAAGCACATTAATAGAAAGTTATGTGGAAAAGAAAATTGTGGAAGAAAAAGGTGCACAAGCAGCAGGGATGACCGCAGCCTGGAGAGGATTGTCAGGAAAAGCCCATTCAAAAGTGTTGGGGACTTTCACAAGGAGTGGACTGAGGCTGGAGTCAGTGCATCAAAAGACACAGACGGATCCTGGACATGGGGTCCTCTTGTCAAGCCGCTCCTGAACAACAATGTCAGAAGCGTCTTACCTGGGCTAAAGAAAACAGAACTGGTCTGTTGCTCAGTGGTCCAAAGTCCTCTTTTCTGATGAGAGCAACTTTTGCATCTCATTTGGAAACCAAGGACCCAGAGTCTGGAGGAAGAATGGAGAGGCACACACTGCAAGATGCTTGAAGTCCAGTGTGAAGTTTCCACAGTCTGTGTTGATTTGGGGAGCCATGTCATCTGCTGGTGTTGGTCCACTGTGCTTCATTAAGTCCAGGGTCAATGCAGCCGTCTACCAGGAGATTTTGGAGCACTTCATGCTTCCTTCCGCAGATGAGCTTTATGGGGATGCTGACTTCATTTTCCAGCAGGACTTGGCACCTGCCCACACTGCCAAAAGCACCAAAACCTGGTTCAATGACTGTGGGATTACTGTTCTTGATTGGCCAGCAAACTCGCCTGACCTGAACCCCATAGAGAATCTATGGGGCATTGCCAAGAGAAAGATGAGAGACATGAGACCAAACAATGCAGAAGAGCTGAAGGCCGCTATTAAAACATCCTGGTTTCCATAACATCTCAGCAGTGCCACAGGCTGATAGCTTCCATGCCACACCGCATTGGGCCAGTAATTGCTGCAAAATGGGCCCAAACCAAGTATTTTATTTATTTATTTATTTGATTTGCCAATTGTTTACAAGATAATAAGTATAAGTGTATACATAGTTGTGAATACATGAAATGGGTACATATAAGAAAAATAAAAGAATAAGAGAAACAATAGGACAGGGACGGTAGGCACGATGGTGCGCTTATGCACGACCCCTACAGACCTCTTAGGAAAGGGGTGAGGTCAATAGTAGACAGTCTAAGGTTAAAGTTTTTGGGGTTTGGGGAAGAGACTACAGAGTCGGGTAGAGTATTCCAGACATTGACCACTCTATTGCTGAAGTCGTATTTCCTGCAATCAAGTTTGGTGCGGTTTACTTTGAGTTTGTATCTATTGTGTGCTCTTGTGTTGTTATGGTTGAAGCTGAAGTATTCATTGACAGGTAGGACATTGCAATGTATGATTTTATATACCATGCTTAAGTCAGACCGAAGACGGCGTAATTCAAGGTTTTCTAGTTCTAGAATTTCAAGTCTGGTGGCATAAGGTATTCTACAACGAGTAGAAGAGTGGAGAACTCTTCTTGTGAAATATTTCTGGACTTTCTCAATTGTGCTAATATCAGATACGTAATGAGGGTTCCAGACTGATGAACTGTATTCGAGTATTGGTCTAGCAAATGTTTTGTATGCTCTGGTTAGTAGTGTGATATTACCAGAGAAAAAACTACGTAGGATTAGGTTAACAACTCTTAATGCCTTTTTGGCTATGTAGTTGCAGTGGGCTCTAGCACTTAGATCATTAGAGGTGAGTATTCCAAGGTCCTTTACAGAGCTTGGGTCATCAACAAGATCTTGACTATTCAGCTTGTATTTTATTTTCTGATTTTTTTTGCCAATATGTAAAACAGAGCATTTATTTGTTGAGATTTGAAGTTGCCATTTGTTTGACCATTCAGATACATAGTCAAGATCTTTTTGTAGGGTAGCAGTATTGTCTGTGGTATTGAACAGCTTTACATCATCAGCGAAGAGAATGCAATTGCTCTTAATATGATCACAGAGGTCGTTTATGTAGAGTATGAAGAGAGTTGGTCCTAGAACACTGCCCTGGGGGACACCACTATTGACAGGTACTGGATTTGATAGGACGCTCCCGATTTTGACCATTTGTTGTCTGTTTGACAGGAATGCTTCTATCCAGTTATTCAGTTGTCCAGAGATACCATAGGATTTTATTTTTAGGAGTAGTTTGTCGTGTACCACTGAATCAAAGGCTTTACAGAAGTCTATGTAGATTGCGTCTATTGCTTTGCCCTGGTCGAGTTGTGTCGTCCATATGTTTTTGCAGTGTAAGAGTTGCAGATTACAGGATAGTTTTTTTCTGAAACCAAATTGTTTATTGGAGAGTAGGTTGTTTGTCTCTAAGTGGAGGATGATGGATTGGTTAATAATTGAAGTACTGAGTACATATGCATGCTTATGCTTTTCAGAGGTCCGATATTGTTCTATGCACAATCCTTGTTTTATTGATTGCATGTAATATTCTAATTTTCTGAAAATTACGGATTTAGGGTTTTCATGAGCTGTAAGCCATAATCATCACAATTATGACAAATCACGGCTTGAACTATCTTGCTTTGCATGTAATGAGTCTATCTCATATATTAGTTTCACCTTTTAAGTTGCATTACTGAAATAAATGAACTTTTGCACGCTATTCTAATTTTTCAAGTTTCACCTGCATATCCAAAAGGAAGGAGATTATGTAATTTAGGACAATCATGTCAAAAACAACATGCCTATTTCCATTAATGTGCTCTCAATAAATCTCAAAGTGCCCTTCCAAATGTAGTATGTATCTTTTGGCTTTAGATACTTTTTCGAATGGAAGAACACATTCAGTAGATGTTTTCTGAGCCAGTAGAGATATTTAACAGGTCAAGATATTCTCCTATAAGGTTATTCCATTAGCAACAATGGGGTCAGAACTAGAAGGTCAGCAAAAGGAGAAAAAGATCCTTCCATTGAAGACATAATCTGAGCAGAATTCTACTGATTCTATTGATGGGACCAAATTTTGATTTTAACCTACTGAGTTAGCAATAAGAATTAGCAATAAACTAGCACCCTTAGAGCTATAATCGCTTCATATATAGTGAATATCTGTACAAAAGACCTTAGCAAAAGCATTTAGGTAAAGGCCTAAGAGTCTACAATGTTTAATATAGATTGTGTTAATCTTTCTTATATCTTTGGAACATAATCTCAAAAGTAAATGGATGGACAAGGAAAACATAAGTTTGGTGTCCACCTTCAAGAAGAATCAGACTGTACACAAGTCAGAACTTTCTTAGGAGTATGATTCACAGTTAAGGTTGTTATTGTCCACTGAAAAACTGAGGCTTTGCTTCCACACATACCTATAAATAAATGAACCTGCCCCTTATTTGCATGAGTCGAAATCCTGTTTAGGTGGATTCCTCCACATCCTGAAGAAGAGTACGAAAGTTTAAAATAATCTACTTAATCATTTTGTTTATGTCCTCCTCTTTAAAAAATATTTCATAGCATGTATATAAAATTTATAAGAATATACACATACTCGGGGTTATAGTAGAACATGCTTCTAAAATGCTGGTGTTTTATTAATGTTACATACACTATGCTTTATAATGAAGAACTTGTGTCACTATTCTGATTGCCACAGAGGAACATCAGCTCCTCAAATTTATTCTATCTATCATACTTCAGGCCTTTCTAATAGAAAATTTACTACCTGATGTTGCATTAAATTGGAAAGAATTTCAAACTTCCACATGTGAGATCACTAAACACTAGGTCCAGTGGTGGGATTCAAATATTTTTACTAATGGTTCTGTGAGCGTGGCTTGGTGGGCATGGCAGGGAAAGGATACTGTAAAATATCCAGTCAGAGGTGGTATTTGCTGGTTCTCCAAAGTACTCAAAATTTCCACTATTGGTTCTCCAGAACTGGTCAGAACCTGCTGAATACCATCTCTAACCAGGTCCATTGTGGAGGAACATCTGGGAGATGATATATTTGAGGAGTAGAAAGCCAAAGATTACACATTATGCTACCTCACTTAACTACTCTGACCTAATTAATAAAATATTACTGCCTCTAAAATATTTCTATGCTGACTTCATGTTACTGTTTTATAGACTATATGCCCATTTGTGCTTTGTTTTTTTCTTTACATATTTATATTTATATATAGCCATAAGATGCAGAGAATCTGTTTTACTTTCATAACAGTAAATAATTTACTACATAAATAAGTTGTATTTAAATGCCTTTATCATATATGCTTACAACTGGCTGGTTTATATCTTAGAGTTGAAGCATGAGTTACATTTCTTTTAATGTCATAAACATTTTCGTTACAATTGCTGAGTATCTCCATTTTGAGGTAAAATATTCTTTAAAAAACAGGATATCAAGCTGGCACAGGAAAGAAATAAAGATGGAGTCTATTCATTTCTTTGTGCCAGCACATAATTAGAGTAGCACAAGTATATACCAAGATGTCATTTGATCACTGGTAGCCTCACAGTTGGTCCACTTGTCAAGATGTTGTTCCAACTGCATCAATCAGCAATTGTAGATCAATTAATGTGAGACTACTTTATTGAAACAAATAGGGAGTCCATTAAATTATGATGGGTATGACCTACTATGAAGGTTGGAGTTTGTTTTTTATTTATTATTATGTGGTCCTCCGGCTGTCCCCTCTCTTTGAAATAATGTCATAATTTTCCATTTAAAAAAATATAATTCTGGTCTATAACTATTAGATACATGCATGGAGCTAGATTGACAGATGATAGAAATAGATAGATGATAGATAGATAGATAGATAGATAGATAGATAGATAGATAGATAGATAGATAGATAGATAGATAGATAGATGACAGATACTTTCTCATTTTAAAAATATATTCTGATTTTACACATATATTAAATATAGATTCTAATATACATAGTAAAGCTGTCTCACTTGATAGGAGTTTATTAGCTTACAGAAAAGTTTCAGCTGAAGAAGTTCAATATTACTTCTTCAGTGAAATTATAATAAAAATGATTTGGGACTGCATTTTTTGCAGCAACTGCATATAGGAATGAAGATTTATTTATAATTGTTTTGAAGGTCTGCATGGGCATTTGAAATAGAATCCAATCAAAGAACACTTTACAGTTAAGATCTACATTAAAAATATTACTTTTCCCAATGACACATATTTCACAATATTATTTTCACTGTTCCTTAAATCGTTCTATGAATCCTAACTTGTGCAATTTCTAATAGTTTTTCAAGCAACATCCTCTTTGTCACACTATATATAAACTTCTGACATTGATCTGTAATTGCTATGGTAGCTAAATTTATATGCATTATAATTTGCAAATTTTTCCAAAATTCTATCAAAATATTCAACAACAAAATAATATTTAAGGATTTAGCATTTGGTCCTAGATTTTGCAGAGAATTTGGAAAAGAGCTAATGCCAACTCTGCCATTTTGTATTTAAAACAAAATAGATATAAAAGTTATTTAGAGCACTGTGGTAAAAGGGAATATGTAATAATTATAGGAATTGTAACTTTTGGTGGTATCATAACCTCCCAAAAAGATTTGAAGGAATTGCTTAAGTCCATACATATGACAACATTTTAAAAATTTTTATTTGAAATATAATAAAGAACATTCACTGCATATCAGTAACTTATTGCATATTAAATATAATTAAATCACTCCTGATATTCTATCTCTATGATGCTGTGTACAGTAGATGGAAATACGGTATACAGACTGATCGTCTGAACTGGCATTAATCAACAAGCATAATCAATAAGAAAAACATTTGTAGATTTGTTCCAAAAAATTGACAATCTGGCTGTAACAATATCCTATCTTCAATCTCTACATATAATGAACAATTCAGAAGACCATCATTTCAGGTTCATGTATTTTTATCTGTGATCGCCTTCTTTGGCAACTAGAAAACACTGGAAAACACTGGAAAAGTTTCCATTTATCTTTCAATATTACACTACAATCTGGAGCTGGCACAACATGAGCCCACATATGACTTCTTACTTACCTGATTGCATGTATTGATATCTATTCCTCCTTTTAGATATTCTACTACTTTGTCCAGATTGCCAGCTCTGGCAGCTCGAAGGAAGCTTGCATTGCTATCCGACTGTGAAAAGCAAAACAGAATAATATTACTGAATGTTCTGAACATAAGGAACAGAAACAAAAGGAAAGTTTTTTGTTATGTTACTGATGTTTTCCCCAATTCTTATTGATTCAGTTACCCCTCTGGAAAAATTACAACATGAACTTTTTTAAAAAAAATCATAATACTTCCAAATGGCTTCTTTAAAATATGCAGCATCACTATGTTCCTAAAGGAGCATCAATAAACTCCCAAATCTAATCATTCTTGTCCCATTCAGCAGCCTGATTATGCGAGGGGCATGGATCCAATGCACAAGTTAGGACTATAAAGGACCCTATTGACTTCCTCGGGTTTCATAAGTAGAAAGTAATGCCAGATCACATTACAAATGATTTTAGTTGCAAAGCAACCAACTTGTTATGTTGCGTGCCTGGAACTGTTTCATCCTACCTTTCCCTAGCAGTTGCTGTAAGTGCAGAGAAGAATGGCTATTTCACCCGTTATATCACCACTGTGTAGGTTTGAACATAAACTCACATTTTTTACGACTATTACTATAGGCATCTTTTTGAAATCCTTGGGGTTGAAGATTGTGCAGAGGTCTAGCAGAAGCAGTCTTATCCGGCACTCTGGCCAACACATTCTGCAGATCAGCGGCATTTGGGAATTGCTTGTCAACCTTAATTATGAATTGTTTAATTCTTGCTTCACATTTCTTATACCACAACTAGACTCAAAATCATGCCACAAAATGCATAATATATATGTAGCCACATGAGAAGACTACCATTAAATCTATTGCCGGTAAATAAAGAGAAGACTTGATAAATAAGAAATTACTTTATTTAATTATACGAAAGCAACCAAAATTTGAGGAATATTCTATTCTACAGACTTGTAAATGTATTAGCTATTTGGAATGCCTTCAAAAGATACTTAAATAGTTGTATAATTACTTTATGGGGAAATATGAAAAATTAAAGAAGAAAAATTAGGATAAAAAAACTTAAAGATCTCTTGAGCAGGTATATAAGACCAACACTATTATTATTTATTTCTAAAGTAAAATATAAACTAATTATTTCATAAATATCTAGCAAACAGAGTTGGAATATTTATACTAATAATGAATTCATAATGGTTTAAAAGATTATTAGCTATGTGCATTAAAATACAGGGAAGATTAATTCAACAAAAATATTGTTTGTTATGCTTTCTGGACATTCCGAATGTGTTTTTTTGAAACTGACCTTAAATTTAAGATTAGCTAGATGTATGAAAATTCAGATTATAACACAAAAAATTATGACAGAAGAAATGAAAATGTTAAAAATGTACAACAAAATACTTTTTAGGATGATGAATGTAATAAAAGTAGATATTTATATATTGTTATTCCTTAGTACAGCTAGTATTTTTTAATACAGTAACTTGAAATTGAATCATTTTTATTTCTGGCACATGAGCACTGAAGTTCTTGAACCTAGAAAACTAACTTGTTCAGTTAGTTTCAACTGGAGCAAATTTTCATTTTTCAGAATCTGAAGATTATCAAGTGAATACAGCTGAAGCATCAGAAGAAACAGAAAAACAGCCAATCATAAAAAAAAGGCTTGGAAAACAAAACTAAATCACTGTTTCTCGACCTTGTGCACTTTAAAATGGACGGACTTCAAATCCCAGAATTCCCTAGCCAGTTATAACAGAGCTGCTTCCTTGGAAAGCCAAACTACTACCCTACATTATCATTATGGTCTCCTGGTTACTGTAACAACACTATACTAATAATATTCTTCTTACTGATCACTCTATTCACTCCACATTCACCGAGCACCTATGCATTCTTAGTCCCTCTTTTTTTAGAAGTTTTATCAGACACACCCAATTATTGTTTCCATATGATTATCTGATTATCTGCCATCAAATCATTTTCAGCTCTTAGCAACCACATAGATCAGGGGTGTCAAACTCACGCCATCATAGTGTCATCACGTGTAGTAACATGACTTTTTCCCCTCCGCTAAACTAGGCGTGGGCGTGGCCAGCACATGATGCATCTGGCCCGTGGGCCATGAGTTTGACACCTCTGACATAGATTATACCTGCATATAAAAAAACAGAGAAAGCATGTTCTTATACTATTTTTTTATATTTATAGGCATTTATACTTTGTAAAAGAAAGTATTACCCACTACCTTTATTTGCACATTTTATTTTTACATTATTAGAAGTCTACCAACATACACAAATCATCTACTTCCTTATTTCTTTTTTAAAATTTCTATTAACAATCATTTCCTTTATTTTTTTTTAATCAAATGTAAACTCCTTGGTCTTTAGTATTGTAATTTTCAGATTCATACTTTTTGATGACTCACAAAATCTGACATTAGCTATGAATCAATTGAGTTCTTGGCCAACACACAGTATAATCATCATATGTACATGTAATTTGAATATCAGCAAAGGCATTAAACAAGAAGAATCACACGACCCAGTTTTATTCCTGATCATCGTTGAACCATTCACTTAGCATTTCAATTATTTTCATACATGTTTACTACTCTTATTACATTCAGCAGCACATTCATGCTTCCCAAACTTTACACTTTGTTATCTTTCCTACACTTTGAATCAGAATTCTGCTAAACACTTTTCCAGGTACATTTTACTTCCTAGGTCTTGTTTTATTGAGATTTTCTAAGAGATGCCAGAACACACATATAAAATGCTATTGGAGGAAGGCTCAAAGTGAGTCTGACAGAACACCAGTATTAGAGATTAGCTCATGATGATTAAAGTAAAAAATGTGAATATTTCTCCACCCTTATAGCTGTTTAGTGGCCAGTAGAGGCCACAGGATCTTCTGCAGGACTACTAAGAGGATTATTCTGGCTAAATAGTGGATAAAGTCATTCAATCCCATGCCAGGTTAGATTCTGATTGGCATGTCTGGCTAAACTGACTAGGCTTCACTCTTGGGCTGTGATCTCAAATAGGATCTAGTTCTTGAGGAAACAGACAGAATATTCTGCACTGTTTACCACCACCACCCCACCCTCTTGTTTGTTTGACTCAGGTTCCTTTAAAGTGGCCAGAGACATGGCTTGTAGTTGGAACCATGTTATGGTTAAGGCCTCTTAAAAAGGGAAGGTTATTGAAAAGATAGTTGGATATGAGCCACAATGGCGCAGTGCTTAGAATGCAGTACTGCAGATTACTTCTGCTGACTGCTTGCAATTTGACAGTTTGAATCTCACCAGCTCAAGCTTGACTCAGTCTTCCATCCTTCCAAGATTGGTAAAATGAGAACCCACATTGTTGGGGGCAGTATGCTGACTCTGTAAACCGGTTAGAGTGAGGTGTAAAGCACTGTGAAGTAGTATATAAGTCTAAGTTTGCTATTGCTGTTGTAAAAGAAAGCAAATTGTCTAAACACATTTTAGTTGGATTTCAGGCCAGAATATAATACAGAGACAGCCTTGGTCACATGAAGGATATGGATATGGCAGAGCCAAGAAACATATCCTTCTGCTGCTTGATCTCTCATAAGCTTTTTACAATATTGTTGTGATTTAGCTCTGAGGATATTGGGATTTGGTTGCACCAATTTATAGTAATTTGTTTCCTTCCTTACATTGCAGTAAGTTTTGGCACCTCCTTTATGAGGTGCTATAGATTCACACTTTTCCCTCTTGTTCAACATATAGATAAAAAGTAAAGTAAAATTCATTTCTGGATTGGGAGGCTCTTCAGACACTCACTCATGCCCTAGTCATCTTATAGCTTGACTTTGCATTGCATTCTAAATGGAGACTTTGAAACCATTTGAAAACTTCACCTGGTCCAGAATGCAGTGGCATGGACAGTGATAGGCATACTTCAGTATATCCATGTGACAGCCCTGTTTCTTGAGCTGCATTGATTACCAGTATGCTTCTAGGTGCAGTTCAAGATGCTGGTTATTACCTATACATTTCTTTATTATGTAAGTCCTGATTATTTGACAGAATACTTATTTGCCATGGTGTCTGCTCAGTATGAGCTGACAGGATTGGCATGCTCCAGGTCCCTTTGATTAAGCAGTATCATCTATGAGGACAGAAAGCATACTTTTCCCTTATAGCACCTGCTGAGATTCATGTGGCTCCCCACCTTGAAGGCATTCCATAAAGACTCATGTGTTCTTCTAAGTCTCAGATTAGAGTGGGCCCTGTTAGATATAGTTGCAGGTGTGTGTATTGTTGGCCAAACTTGCCATCTTTATTCTTTTTTTAATCATTCTATTTACATTGTTCAGTTTTATTTTAAGCTGCCCAGTTTCAACTTAAAGTTGGTCATTGTCTAAATTGAATAAATTAAACTTTCAACATTTTAATAAAATTAATGGTTTTGTTTCATCTTTATTTTCTTGGACACTAATATTTGTATCCTTTTTTTTTAATTCCGTTCTTTGACAAAATAGTATGTTCTCCATACAAAACTCATACATTATCACTAGCTATTTTCATCCAATTTTTCCCATATTATTTCAACATGTTTGTATTTCATTCTATTCACTTCTTGTTTAACACATGTCCCCTACTTATGGAACAAATTGTTAACTTACATAAAAAAAAAACCTAACACAATAATACTGAAAGAGTGTCAAAAAATTGAGTGCTAATAATAGTTTATTGCCTCCATTCTAGGTATATATTACAGCCAATAATAACATGTCTCTGTCTCTTAGTAGCAACATCTAAAACTGAAAAAGTAGGACAAATACGCATAGCAAGAAAGGCCACCGCTCTTTGCCCTTCCTTCCTATTTTCTGAGTTCTCATTGGGTCTATAGAAGGCAGGATTAATTTGAACAAACCAGTAAAGAATCGATATATACACATGTACTTTAACCCTTTCAAAAAAAATTGTTAAATGACACAGAAGACAAAGGAGGCAAAGGAGGAGACAGAGGGACAAAGAAAGACACACAGAGAGAGAGAGACAGAGAGACAGAGAGACAGAGAGAGAGAGAGT